TATATATATATATATATATATATATATATATATATATATATATATATATATATCTTTATCTCTTTATTGTTGATTTCGCAATTTATCGAGTTCATCGTTGTTTGATCATTTCGATTGGAAATTTTTTTCTATCATATTTTAAAAGTGTTTTTGTTGATATACTCACAATCACTTTGATTGTGATTGGATTTTAACATCAACAAAAAAAATTATATTTCCTATCGATATCGATTGCACAACAAGTGTTCGGTAGATTGTTTGTGCGTAATTTGATTATGTTTTGGTTCATTGGATATACGAGTTACGGTTAGCATTACATTTAATTGATTTGTAGCTTGATCGTTGTTGAATATATATGTTCATCATCACTCTGTTTGGTTTGTGATACGTATAATGTTTTTCGATAGTAAGTTCGGTTAGACGATTCGATACGGGTCGTTTTTCCGCTGCACCTTATTTTGAAAACAGATTTTTGCCAAAAGTTTTTGGTTGTAAAATTTGTGATATATTCACCCCCCCCCCTCTAGATCAAAGCCTATCTTCTAACAGCTAGGGCCATAGGATCTCTTCTCATACATTTGGAAATTCTCTCGATAAGTTATAGAAGACCCCTGATCCATCTCAAAGTTCTTCCACTTAGGATTCCCAGCATGTCCTCTACTAGCAGGTTTGGTCCATTTCCCTTGAAGGGCGCTGGACGTAAGTTTGTAGGTATTAGGCCTAGCCTTTTGCTGAGAAGGAGTCTGTTCTTTCTTTTGGGGCACCCCTCTCTTATCGAAGTAAAACTAGGGCCTATTATTTCTCCCATTCTCTTTCTCTTTTGCTTTTTGAGCACTCTCAACCTTTCTTGCAGCTTTCTTGTTGAATACAACACTGCATCAAGGACACAACATCACCTCTGAGTCTTCACACGTGCACCTATAGAGAAATTCCACAAGTCCCTCACCAGCCTTTGGGTACACAACTTCGATCTAATTTTGCTCTCCTCGAACTCAGCCATGTCAAAATCTTCAGTAATTTTGACCATATTGATTACCACTGGCTCCACATAGCTAACATCCCCAACTTGCAAGGGGTTAGAGTCAATATTCATAAGTGTATTTCCCTTATCAAATTTCAACCTTCCTTCATTTAGTACGTCCTGATCAAGATCCCTGGAAAGAAAGCATTGTGAGGTCTTATGCCCTAGAAAATTATGATATTTATAAAACCCTTGTTTCTTTCTTTATTCTAATGGTGGTACTTTTACGCCTGGTGGCACAAGTATTTGACCATTTGCAACCAAAAAATTGAAAATCTCATCACAATTGGTTAGGTCGAAAGGTGTAGGTTTTCTTAGGTAATTTATCATTTTTATCAGGCTCAGAGGCATTCTTCCCATTTGTAGGTGTAAGCAATTTACACGCATATGAAGGACCTTGCTTTAACGCAGCCACGTCGACCTCAGACTCCTCGACATGGTTATATTCGACATCTGACACTAGGCCATGGTCTTTCATGTCGACGTAAGTCATATGCTCTTTCTTACTCTAACTCACTCTGGCCTTCTCGGCTTTCAGTATTTCAACATGTTGAACTATATTTGCCATCTGTGCCATATCTCTCAGATATTGTGTATCTAACTTCTTCCTAATGGAATAATCTAATCCCCATGCGTCCATTTCGACAAGCTCATGTTCAGGAACTTGAGTGAAGCACCTTGTTTTCAATAGACGGAATCGATTCAAGTAGTCTTCAATTGACTCAGCAAACTTTCGCTTCACGCTTGGATTGCCCCATGTAAAACTGCTCATGAAACAACCTCTTTAATCGATTCCAATCATTGATTGAATGAGAAAGAAGGGTGGTGAACCATGTAAAGTATTCTTTGTTAGAGAACTAGGAAAATATCTTATCCTCAGGCTCTCATTATTGGCAATGTCTCATGCCTCAGTTAAGTACCGGGCAATGTGCTCGACGGTAGACTCGTTGGTGTTGCCAACAAACTTTGTGAACTTAGGAATTTTCCAACCCTTTAGTAGTTCATTCTACAACACGTACTCTGAGAGAGGAAATATGTAATTTGGTCTCTGTAGGCCCATGTTCATCCTATTTTATACCATTATCCTTTCGACATTGGAAGTCGGATTATTTTCTCCTAATAGATTTTCCTATCGAACTTTATGGACAACTTGGTCGGTGTCCTAGTTTTGATTTACTATCATGACAGGTGGATGTTATACATCCCTAGGTATCTCTTGTTTAACAACTTGGGCACCACTTGTTGTCCCTGTTTCACTGTGTTTTCTTCCAACACTGCCCCTTCATTACGAACTTGTCTACCAATTTGGGGTTGCACGATAGGTCGAACCTGCACTGGGGAAGCGCCAAAGAAATATGCAATTTGATTCATCTTAGTTGCCAACTATTGGTAACTCTAATACGTATTTTTAATCAATATGTTTAATATCGTACCCATCTGCTGAGTCAAAGTGTTTACCATGTCATGGTTACTCTCATTCATCTATTATCTCATTGCTAATACATATGGCAGATATAGTGACACATTTGAGGGTGAAGGTCTAAACCCTTGACCCGCCCCACACTAAAGTACGGGCGAAACGGGCATTCCTAATGGGCTAGACCCGTTTTTCCACCCCTACATATGGTTGAGCCAGACGCAAAAATTAGCCAATATATATTCGCATCATTATCAGCAAATGTCGGTGGATTATTATGCAAACTTGTCATCACCGTTGTTGGCATCCCAATAAGGTTGCTCACGTTCTAACATGCGCATTGTAAAACTTGTTGCAAAAGGCCTAACTTTTGTCGCATTCATTATTCTAGGAGTCACTTGGTGATTATGGGGTATAGGGGACACGACAGTCCCTTCTGGTAAAGTTAATGGTGCAACAATTGTTAACAGTATGGCCTTAATGCTAGCGGTCAAAGGAATTGGCTCAATTGTCATTGCAGAGATTGTGCCCGCCCTAGCACTATTAGAGGGTTGTTCTCCATTGTTATTCTTGGAAATTGTCATTCTCCTGACATATCTTCTCACAGGTTTCCTAACTTATCTCTTTGTTATTTTACCGCACCTTAATCTCATGCACACTCACACAATTGAGAAGTTAAATGGAATGAAGAACTATATTTTGTTTCTTTTCTAAAAAAATGCAAAATAAAAACACACAAAAAGGGTCCCACTAGACGTGTCAATTTGTTTACTGTGAAATTTGGTAAACAAAGCAAGTTTCATTAATACATAAGGAATCAAACTTAAAAATCTCTCTGAACATGTTTGTGTGCATTTAAGACTTTGAACATCATTTGAAATTGAAATAGTGACATTTGAAAAATAACGATGTAACTTAGAAAAATAATTGAAATCTAAGGTCTTGAAAATAAATGGAACTGAAATCGAAGTGCAGGATAAAGTAAAAATGACAAGAATTGTAATGCAAGATCAAAATATAACTTAATGCAGGAAGAAAACTTGAATGTAAAAATGTTTGAAATTTGTAAATGGTGGAACACTTACGTACATTTTCCTCACTCGTTCTTTAAATGCGAAAATACTAAGTTTTAAGAAATATAAGTACAATTGTGGACCCTTTACACAATGAACATGAGTTGCCTTATATACTACTATAAAATAACTACTTAAGAACGGTCGACTACCCTATCACGACACATTTCAATCCCATGCAATTGTTTCTTCCGACAACCTTCCACGTGTCTTCGAGTAACCGTCTGTGTTAAACCAGTTCCCATTCTTACAACACCATTTAAATATTTTAACTACTTTTACTGGTTATCAGAAACTAAGTCAACTACATCAAAGTCCCTAAGATCGACCACGCTACGACAACACTCTTTGTAGTACTTTCCACATGCAGTACTCAAGTCGACATTGTTTCCATTGTAATGATGAACTCCAACCTTAGCCAACATAGAATAGTATTCAATTTCACTAAATCCGCAAACTCTAAGAACATCCTTCGACTTCTAACCTCTTCGACCGACCTCCCTTTATGTAGTTTCCGACCTCAAATCACCTTGACTTCCATTTGACTCCATTTATTCTTGACTTTTCCACGTGGCATATTCATTGTCTTTCACTTGTCATTTATGGTTGAGTCGAAAAATTCAAAGTACCATAGGTTGAGTTGAACTCAGGTCTGACTTGCCATATTTCCACCCCCAAGTGGAGAACGACATACAATAAAATTTAAGATAATTCATATTTTCCTCACTGAAAAAGTCAAACCTTTTTCAAGTTAACAGTTCCTTGATGATCTTATGAATGTTAGATTCGATCAAAGCATGATCAAACTTGATTATTAAAGATTTTACTCGTATCCCATATTTACAGCGTCACTAATTGAAGTGACTATTGGCACAAAGGTACGTACGTTATGAGGGGGAGATGCAAGCATGGATAGAGAAAACGGAAAAATGCCATAAATCAATAAAAGATCAAATCAAACTTTAAGCACCATGTATGTACTCACATCAAAGGAAAGACTCAAACACTATATGCATAAATAGCCAATCAAGACTAAGATCACGATGTTTTGGCCGATCGGACTCGGTTTACCTATATACACTTTGATTGTACCTTTTTTTCACAACACCCAATCATTCAAACAACTAATTTAAATTATTTCAGAAAAAAACCTACTAATTTAAAAACACAATTTTAAAGGGAAATGCTCATTTTCTTTCAAAATACAAAATAGAACTGAAATTTCACATGAAACAAGACATCATCTAACTACCACAGTATGTACAAGTTTTCAATTTTCGTACAAACCCTTTACATGCTTGAGTCTGATTATTCTCATGTTGATCAATTCCACCGCGACAGACCCATCTGCAACCCAATTTCATGTTCAGGAAATTCTTTCGATAAATACAGCTGTCTGAACGAACAACAGACAAAGCATAGAATCCATCAATAACATACAACGAATGGAGTTAAAAGCTAGGACAATTCAAGCAGTACTACAAATATATTAATCCTCTCCCCATGCATCTTCTTTCAATTTTTGCCTGTTAACAATGCGTTCCTTTCGAGTATTTTCTTCCCTTTTATGTTGTTGGAAGCCTGTCCCACGGCTTGGGGAGGGCAATTTTATCCCCATACTGTTAGCAATCATCCTCTGCGCTGCTGCTACTGAGGTTTTCTGTCTTTGCTGAGGTGGTTTCAGGTCTGAATAAACAATGAAACCGAAAAAACTATGTGAGACAATATTAACTGATCAATCATACAGTTAATTGATTTAAAATTGCAATGAACAATGGGAATTTACTCAGTCTAGTAACCTGCTTAGAACACAATAAATCCAACTAGTTCAAGATGAAGGGGGTAGATAAAAGTATAATGTAAAATTACTATCATTGATTTGAAATGAATTTTAACAAGTTCGTGATTTTATTGTGTTGCAAAAAAACCGTAAATGCTAGCTAGCAATAAAACTAAGTTTGAGGGAAAGAGCCAGGGTTGTCTAGAAAGTCTCAAAATGCAGTATGTTCATGCAGAGCAGGGGAACTACCATGTTATCAAGACTAAACAAAAAAGTAGTAATCAAACGATATCGAATGACAGAACCAGGATTCACATTGAGTTCCAAAATACTTCTGCAAACCAAAATACTACATATTTTACAGATTTTAAAGATCAAACATAAAGTAAATTGCCAGTTTCTCCCCTGAAATTTTAAGGGTCAGTCCTTTACACCCATAAAATTTGCGAATATGCAAAAAAGACCTCAATTTTGAATTATGACTAGCAATTTGGTCATTTTGCTAACTTGTATCTAATTTTTGTTCAAATTAGTTCTTAAATCACACCACTCATTAGTAAATTAGTCTATGAATTATATCACTTAGTGTCAAAGTAGTCCTTACGTTACAAGTTAAAAGAATGTGATCAAGTTGTCTGACTTCATTGAAAGTCCAGGTCTTTTTTGCCTATTTACAAATTACATTACAGGGGTGTAAATGCTCGACCTCTACAACTTCATGGGGGTGAATTGGTGATTTAACATCAAACATAGCTTCATAAACTAGGCCATGCCTAGGTTTCCTAAAGAAAATGCATCATCACAAAGAAACTTGTAATATACAGTAAACCTTATATCACCCTGATATAGTAGCAGAAAGAGAAAGCAGTGTCTTACCATTTGGTTTAATTGAACTGAGATGTGCATCTTCTTCACCAAGTATCTTCATTGTCATATTAAATGAACATCGAGCATTGCTTTGAGCCTCAAGTGCTGCATTATAAAATTATTGGTGCCAATGGTCACTAACAAATATATAATGTAAGGTAATGTTGTAAATAATAAAGTAAAGTAATGTTGTAATTACCCTCTGCAGGAGTTCGGAATACTGCAAGTGCAACTGTATCATTGACCCAGCGAATCACAAAATGACAGTTTTTTATGTCATCAAAAACCTTCTCAAGGTCTGTTGTTCTAGTACTTGGTGAAAAGTGAGACAGCACAAGAACGTGACTGGTCCCATATTGTACTGAATTGAATAAAAAATAATTATCATTGAATTGTTTTCGATACAATATATCATGCAAACAAAACCCAACATAAAGTATAGATTATAATTTGAAATTTTGAATGCTTATAATGAACACTAGAACATGAAACTTATAATCTGAGGCATTTCAAGAAACCATAACCAACTTACTGTTCCATATGTAAACTAACTTGTGTGATTCTCCCTCGTTCTAAAATAAGTTTCATCTAAGTTTTTTTTTCTTCATATAGATTAAGAAAACTAATGAATGAATGAATGTAACAATTTTAAAAACTGTCCCTATTAACTAATGGCTATTAAGAATTGTCATAAATATAGTGAGATATAATGACTTGAAAGTGGTGTACACAATTAATATCGGGTAAACTTGGAATAATTGAGAAAGTAAAACAACAATTATTTTGGAACAATTTTGTTTTGGTAAAACAAGACTTATTTTAGAACGGAGAGAGTACAAAACTAAAATACTATGGGTTACAAAATAAGCACATAAGTAAATTTTACTGAAAGGTTGAACCGTAACATGGTTTACTTACAGTTTGGTGTACCTTTTTTATCTTCTGAACCAGAACGAGTTTCTTCATCCTCAACATCATCAATAATCGAACCATCAAGTAACCGATCACTATAAAGCTTATCATTATCATAAGAGAATGTTCCCCTTCCACGTCGCTTTGGGGTTGGACTTTTGGTGTTCTCCAATTTAAGATCTGACACTCTAGATAAAACTTCAGAGGACACTGGAGACAGTAACTTGTCAGGTTCACAGTCAGCTTTTGCTTCCCAGTCTGTAATATTTCACAATATCATTCACTAGCATGGTATAAAAAACTTAATCCACTATCAAAACAAAGTTATAACATAATGTATAAGGGACCTCTCAATATCATACTATTCCACAACTATCACATCATGAATACGATACTTGTTTCTATTAAACCAAGCAACTAGTGTGCACTTTTAAAAATTCCTACCACTACGCCATCTCTGCTTTGATTGCTCTTCCTTTATGACAAGCCAGACACATATGCACATTCTGCTTCTGCACTGAAACAGTCATTTCCTTCACATTCGCCCATTTCTCTATCTTTTCTTTCTATCAAGAACATGCAATCACCTAGTAACTTTACTCAGTTTTTTTCCTATCTTGTCTACTATATGGTGACAGTGATTTGAGTGTCTGAACATATGAACGTGAATATTGAAATATAGTAGACAAGATAGACAAGAATGACACTTTCAAAATGGTGTATGAATGATAAGAATACAAATCCACTATCAAAATGAGACCTTAACATAATGCATGACTGACCTCTCAAAGTCCTATAATCCTACAACCATCACACTTTCTCTACTAAACCCTACAAGTGCCTGCCCTTCAAATCCATCGAAATTAGTCTATCTAGCACCAACACTTAAAAAAGATGTGTCTCTCAGAGTGTATGTGTCCGAAACCTATACTGACACATGTGAATATGTTTAATTTATTTATTTTTTCAAATTATTACATTTGTCGAAAAGTTTAGTGAATAGAGTAGTGACTCAACCCAATTATTAATTTTCTTAATAACCACATACAACTCAAATGAGACTAAAAAAAATCATAAATTGATTTCCAAAACTATGAAGAAACAACACATACCATCATCCGCAGAAGAACTCCCAATAGAATCATGTGAAGCAGGATTCGTCAGTGGTGTAACTAGGGCGTCGCTGAAAAAACAAACATCGAAACTGAAAACATGGATGAGAGAAACGAAACGAGAAGTTGAAAAATTGAAAGGTGAGTTACAGTTGCAATTCGGAAATAGAAGATGACAAATCATCCAAGAGTGTGATGGCGGTGTCTAACAAGTGTTCATTGCTTTCGCTCCGATTCTCTGTTGCTACCGATTTCTCCATTTGTTTCGATCCAAGAATTTTTAACAGTCAACAAACTCTCACTTTCAACCTAAAATGGAAATTTATGAATAAAATGAGTGACAATTAAAAATAATATTTAAAAATGGTTGTTATTTTTAGTTTTTACTGAAATACTATTAATTAATTTTTCTGAATTTTTTAAATAAAACATTTTCAAGGAGAAGGCACTAAACTGGTGCATGAACTAAAAAACGAACTTGTGCACCACACACTACTACATGCACCATTAATACGCCATGGCATTAATGTTGTAAGACAAAGAAGAAACGCCAATAGATGTGACATTTGTGTATATTTCTATTTTTTTTATAGATAGATCATTTATTTTCTATCATTTTTTACATATCTTCTCATTTTATTTTTAAATTGTTTTTTCAAATTTTTTAACATGATTATTAAAAGAGATGGGTATGTTTATTATTCGATTTTCAAGTCTTCATTGAAGATCTGACTTTGGACACCCAGATTTTTGACCATCTTGAGAGAAGTTTGATTCGTTGGTTAGACAGAGAGATTAAAGATGGTAAAAAAATTAGAAGAATTGATAGGATTATTTCGTTGTTCAACATTGCGAATGAGGATAACGAAGCACGTGTGTTTGTGAGTCAGTTAAAACTGACAGTGATGTCCATGTTATGATGTATGGATCAGATGACATTATTTTGTCGGTTGTAATCTCTTATATATGTTTTAAGTGTTAAGTCCTTTTATTTGTTCTTCTTATTGTTGTTTTAAGCGTGTTTGTGTTTGTTTTGTTGTAACCGAAATTTGTATTTGTGTTTGTCTTTGTTTTGTTAACCATTTTGTCAGCTGAATCCGTTTTGATTCTAAAATGCGTGCTATTAGGGAGACCCTTTGTCTTCCTTCGCATATTCTCGTTGTGCCAAATTATATTCCCTTGATATGTAGGCCAATATTCCTCCTTTGCTACCATCAGAAAGCTATTGTTGTACACATTGAATACGCTTGTGACTTTGTAAATAATGACGAGTTATCAGCGTACATCATTTAGCAAAAAAATTGACTGAATTTGATAAGAATTGAGCAAGTTAGAAGCAAAGGAGTGTAAAAAGCTGGAAAAAATCACTTTTGGACAAAGAAAAACACCTATTAAGAAAATTGGGAAAAAAAGAACCAAAATCAAAAATTGTGTAGCAAGCCCGCGTTGTTATTTGGTGCACCCGCATAGCAGCTTTTACCTGACATGTTTTTCATCAACTTTATAAGGAAAGGGGAGAGAAGAAAGGGGGGTCGATTACAAGGAGTAAAAAGTGATGAAAAAGATAGAATTTTGAGCTTTTAAAAGTCATTGAAGCCATTGGAGAGATTCTCCTTCAGTGATTTTCTATGCTCATCAAATATAAACTATTGGTATTGATTTATTTCAACATGAGTAGCTAGGTTCCTCTAGGTTAGGTCAAATTTGATAATGGACCTGCTCTTACTTGATTGGGACATAAGATCGGATGATTTTAATGTTATTGTTCTGAATATTTGTTACTATTCAGTTATTTATTATGCACATTGCTTTTTTGTTTGTTACGGCATTAGAATCGATCTTGATAAATAATGACTACTGACACTATGACTATTTATCTGAAGTACTTTAATTGTTGAATTCGCTAATTAACTAAGGATAGTATGATTAGGAATTGTAACATAGAGATTAACGTGTTATATTGTCTGGTTTAACGATATAATTGACCTGAGGGATCGAGGAATTAACGATTAAGCTAGTGAGCTACACACTAAGGGATTGGGTGTAGTGATTGAGTTAATATGTCGTGTAATTCTGTAGTCATTGCATGTCTGTTAACGTGTGTTTCATAAATCAACTAAAAATAGAGGATTATGATAATATGACCTGATGACTTTTCTCATTATTGTTATCAAAACTTATTTCTTGTGTTTTTTACACAAACAACCTACAAATAGATATTTGAACCAAATCATAGTCGATACAGTTAGAATTAGTGAAAAAAGTTTGCACTTCTCAACATCATCAAGGTGATAGTAATATAAAAAGTCGTTTACATGTTGCACATGCCACTACTACGGAAAACACCTATTATAACGGCTTGAAAAGGGATACAACCATGTGCGACCAACCGTTATGATATAGAGTGTGATTGTATGTATGATTCTTTCCACCACGGTCGTTGGACCGTTGTGATAAACTAGGTAACATGATATATATAACAACGATCAAAATATACAACCGTTGTGATATAAAACGAATGGTCATGGGTTCGAAACCTAGTAAATGTATGATTAATAATATTTTAGCTCTATTTATAACAACGTTTGGTATAAATAATCGTTAAATACTTTGTTTTTTAAAACTCAATTATTTTATTTTTCCATAAATTACAAACCTGTATTTGATTTACACACACACACACACACACACACACACATATATATATATATATATATATATATATATATATATATATATATATATATATATATATATATATATATATATATATATATATATATATATATATATATATATATATATATATATATATATATATATATATATATATATATATATATATAATATCAAATTAACCATTATAAATATCATCTCCCTCCTTTTCAACTAGCACATTAAAAATAAACAGCCAACGTCTATGAACGTCGTCTAAGTCTTCATAAGAGAAAGATGTTCTATTGATAAACGTCTATATAAACAAGGAAAAATTGAATATTATGTGATTAGAATTATAATAGCAAATTAATATGTTACTGAAAACATTTCATGATATCATATGCCTGATCCCAGGAATCAACAATGTCGACAGAGACAATGTTAAACATGTGTTTCATTAAATAATACTCACACTCGTATCCCTCTACTTATCCCCTCGTCTACAAATTTACACATTTCATGAATATATAAATATATAAATATGTGTGTGTGTGTGTGTGTGTGTGTGTGTGTGTGTGTGTGTGTGTGCGGGCTTGTGTGTGTGTGTGTGTGTGTGTGTGTGTGTGTGCGCGCGCGCGCGTGCGCGCGTGTGTGTTTCATAATTAATCCATTAACCTTGCACTCACAAAATGTGAGATTTTTTCTAGAGTTGTTCAACCTATACAGTCTTTCGACAACCTGCATATTAAAAATGATTTTAAAACATTACACACTTGGATAATAACATAGTCAAAGATAAAATTTCACAAAAAGTCTCATAAACATAAAGTTACCTAGTAATAATTTGTTTCATCGTAGGATCAAGTTCTTTGTGTAAAGAACACAGTGTAGTTACCACATTCGTCCGAAGAGATATGATGATCAATTGATAATGAATTAACAATACAAGCATATATAATTAGTATTTGGTAAAACATGAAAACTAAGTAACATTCTTTCTCATCCACTACCTGTAATGTTAAGTATTCTTTAATGTTTTTTTGCAGAATTATTTGTATATCGTACTCTAACTAGATCCAGTAATCCATAAGTATTCAATTTATTTAATTCTATACATACACGGTGAGTGTACCTAAAAGGTTACACAAAATACAAAAAACAACCCATGGATTCTCAATCTGCGTCGTCGCCTAAAGATCATGTCCAACCTAGAGTATCTTGTAACTCCACAAACGTCTTTCATGATTACTGATTGATACCACAAACCAACATGGGTCTTTACAGCTTGGTTTGTACTCACTCATACACTTCCTGGAAAACTTCTCAGAAGGTCACCCATCTAAATACTACTCCAAGTTAAGTACGTTTAACTATGAAGTTCTTATTTGTTAGGCTATCGAAAAAAAGATGCATCTTATTTGTATAGGTAGTACCAATCAATCCTTATAAGCTTTCCTTTAACCATATGCAGTCTCATACCTGCACAACTTAGATGCATCTTATTGTGCTTGCACCACATACAACATTTCTACTAGACAATTGATCATCAACATCATCCTTTTCATTTGTACACTATGGCATATTTCCACTTATTCTCTACATTATAAAATACACAAAGTAACACAAAACATAATTAACAGAATATATATCATACATTTCAAATAACACAATTTTCACTCTCACATACCACATATAACTCTTTTAATTCTTCCAATTCTTTCCTTCGAATTTTCCGCTCTGCTTCTAACTTCTCGTCAAGTTCTTGCGTTTGAGTCTCTATCTTCCTCTGAAGCTCTTCCAACGTTTCATTTAACACCTGTCTGGTGCTTTATTTGGATGTACCAAAAAACACTCTCAGTTTGATGCCATTTCCAACCCCACGGACACGCTCACCATGCTCATTTGTTCCGATTGCTTATACTAATATACATGTAGTGGTTTTGGAACAAAGGAACCTTCACGGGCTGATTTAACCAACGAATCCTACACAATATGATAAGACATGCATTATTAATTACCAAAGTGATTTAAATAACACTAAACATATGCACAACAAGTCCTACTTACAATTCTCTAAACTACCAATCTAGAGTCATCTGAAGTGTAGTCTCCATTTGGTCTCAATCGAGCCCTCTTCCACTTATCATGCCGTGATGGTGGAGATGGTTCTCGATCACGAATCATGGAGTCCCCATCTCCTAGTTGTTGTCTTTTTTCAGCAAGGATTTCTCAAGTTTCATATATCCCCTATGAGACAATCTATGCGAATATTTATTTTTGGACTTGTTCAGATTTACCGCTTCAATTTTAACCTGTTATAAACATAGGAAAAATATTAACGCCCATGGTTTATCCATAAAATTATCAAAATATACCACTGGTACTAACCATGAACTCCTCACTACAATGAGACTTCATAAACTTTTTTTAAACCTTCTTGTCAAGAAACAGATATTTCACCCACAGGCGTTCAATATGAGGCTTTGACTTTATAATGTAGTCACTCGTGAGTTGTGAGTTAAAACTCCTCCAAGCCGTACCAACATAAGTTATCCATTTTTTTCAACTTTGAATCATTACTAAATTCAAACGTCAACTACAC